AACTGGAAAGTGTCCAACGTTGTCAAACCGGACACCTTCAGTAGGCCGTGGAGCAACGGGAACCTTTATTTTGTTTTGAGGGAGCAAGTTTGCTGCAGCAGAAGTTCTTTTTCTGGGTACGTTACGAGATTGAATCAAAGACTTTGCGATGTTTATTCTGAAGTCTTTGAGCTTATTATATTTTTCGCTGGTGAGGCTAGATCTCTCCGATACAATAGCCAGGCATTATTGACAGCTATATCAATAATCTGACTAAACATAGCGAGATACCATCGCTTTGATTTGAAGGGAGTCTTGTACAGTGAAACCAGCATATCAGATAAATCTACGCCTCCCATATGAATGTTGTACTGTTTGACTATTTGAGGGCACTGAACGTTTACCTTTTTCTTTTGTTCTTTACTAAATCGGCTAACTTCAAACACTGGACTGTGCGAAATGTACGAACTCGCCAGAGTCACACATTTAGTGTCTGCCCATTTTATCACCGCTAGTCCCACGGAATTGTCTACTCTGTAATCAAAGCTACCTCTCCCCTTCCGTAGAAGTTCTTTGTCACTTAGCAAGGGACATCCTCTAAGTCTGTTGCTTCTAATGGTTCCCAAACTTGCCAATTTTTTTATTTTTCTTCAAGTATTCAATTAGTTCCAATGAACAAAGGAAGTTATCAAAATAGACGAAAGACTCTTCTGGTTTCTGAATAGTTCTGCACAGGACAAGTACCACTTTTGCACCAAGTCCCATTTGTTGTTCCTCCTTTGAAAATAGAATTTCGTCAAAAGTACTAGAGCCGGTATAGATGAGAAAGTCTTGCACAATCCCTGACACGCCTGCTCGAACGAACATCTTGAACCCCCACTTCTTTGGCTTTTTAGGCATATATTGGCGCAGACTTCCAGCTTTCTTGCCTTTGTAAGCAATCATCATTTCATCTATAGAAAACAAACCTTCCTCTTCGATAGCTATACATTTTTGTCGCAGTTTTTCTATAAGGGGGCGAATTTTGAATAATCTATCTCCTTGCGGATCAGTATTGTTATCCTGAAAGTGTATGCGTCTTCGCAATTTCTTGAAGCGCTTTACAGGCATAACATCGGCAATAATACTATATCTCGTTTCTATGGCCCAGTAGTCTTCGATTGTTGGCATTTGGACTACCCCCATTATCAACTCAATTCCTACAAACGACCTTATTTCATTAGCTGTAGTATCAATAGAACGCCCAGTTGTCAGTGCGGAGTAAATATTCGTTTGGTGTGCAATATGCTCAAACAAATCATCGTCAAAATTTTTTTCGAAATAAGCCAGAGGGGAATATTCTCCGTCTACTCCAGCAAAAAAGACATCTTTTGGATATCTGATGTGTTGGAAATCTGTTTTGCTCCAAGTGTAACGTTTATCACCACCTAGTATAGAATTATCTCTCGATGTTTGCACAAAATTCGCTAAAGGTAAATCATCTTCTGATTCCCAGTCGCTTGAAGTATCAACTACTGGTAAGCATTTGCGCTTCTTAGATGTGGGCGGCTGCTGATAATCGGGGTCCAAATCGCTATAGTCTCCGCCAAACAGCTCCTCCTCATCTGATGATTTGCCAACGTCTGATACACATGGATCGTCCGGTGGTAGCACAACAACAATACGTGGAATCTTTGCTGCTTTTCCGTAAAATATGCGGGGAGCGATACCCTGAAATAGTTCTTGAAGTTACCATGTATTCTAACATAAATTGCGTATCAAATGCCTTACGTTATTTTTAATGGGCAATGTGCATCTAGGGATACACACATTTGTAAGACAAAAACTAACCTCAAAAATTTATTCAATGAAAAACTAAAGCAATGAAGACGCAAAGGAAGCATCAGCTTTCATAATTATATAATTACGAACACACCAGAGGCTGAAATAACTAATTTGTACTATATTGAGCTTACCGGAGTCAAAACTTGTTGATTATCCATAACAATGACACACAGTACCACCTACCATGCGGACAACTGCAAATAAAATGAACCGGCATAGGCGACACAACGTTGCTAGTGAATGTATCTCACACTATACACCGCCCAATTCGCTACATTTTAATGGGTTTTTACATACATGCCAGTACCATGTGACCGTATCTCAGGAGAGACATCGACCGTTTAAGGGTTAAGTGTAAGTATTGATATATTTTTATAAACAACATATACTCACAAAACAAAAACTCCAAACTAACGCATATTGAAAAAATGTCTGGATCACTTCCGGTCGGGTGCGCCATCTAGCGGGGGCCACCAATCAACATATACCATCAACCCCGTTCAAATTTCCCACCGTTTGATCCGCCAATCAGAGCACGCGGTGGGCGTGGCCAAAGTGGAAGTGGAGGGGGGCGTAGGTAACCTATTATCTACTATTCAAGTCATCGTAATAATAGAAGCTTTGTCGGGAATTGGCCTCTGGAATATTTGAAATCTTGAAGCCAATATTCCAAATGTATTTTCCACAACCACGCGTGATCCAGATAATTTTTTATTAACCCTTAACTACTGACCATGGGTCAATCTGACCCATGCCAAAATACATGCGCAAATATTTAACGACCGGAAGCGGGTTACCGCTCGCACGTTCTAGTAGCTGTAAGTTAGTACGCCTTCGAACGCCTAACGTATGTGTCGTGTATTTTGCTTCATAATTTCTTCGAAAATATTGCGTGTCTGGGTCAATCTGACCCATGATCAGTATGAGTGGAAGTAAGCGAGTTCGTTTCGGAGATCCAAATTTTGAGGCAACCCTTTTAAAATGGTATGAGGAAGGTGAAGAGGAAACTAGTGATTTTGAGGATAGGGCTTTAGATCCATATTTTGCTATTTTAAGCGACCACGAATCTATCGATGAACAATCAGCTGATGACAATCACGTCAATATTCAACAAAAAAATGAATCTGAAGATTCGGATACTGATAAGGATTCTGACGGAGAGAGACCTGCTTTTTATGGAAGAAACCGTTTAAAATGGTGTAAGCAAGCACCCAACAAGCAAGTAAGAACAAGAGCTGAAAATATTATCATTCATTTACCTGGTTTGAAAGGTCCAGCCAGAGACTTCATAGTGATGAACCAAATCCAATTCAAATATGGAAACTTTTATTTACTGACAAATTATTGGAAATAGTTATTCATACAAATAAAAAAATTGAAATAAGTAAGCAACACTATAAAAATGTCCAACGTCCAGAACTTAAACCTATAGATAGAGTTGAATTAGAAGCATATTTGGGATTACTGCTCTTTACATCTATTTATAAATCAGGCCATGAATGCTTACCTGCATTGTTTGCCACAAATGGAAGGGGCAGGGATATATTTAGAAGTACTATGTCCTTGAACCGCTGCCTGTTATTGAACGCTTTTCTGAGATTTGATGACAGTATTTCTCGGGAGGAGAGAAAACAAAAAGATCCGTTGGCGGCCATATCTAGCATTTTCAATGAATTTGTAAAAAATTGTCAGGAAAATTTCTGTATTAGTGAAGTAGCTTGTGTAGATGAAATGCTTGTGGGATTTCGTGGTCGCTGCAAGTTTAAAATGTATATTCCCAGCAAGTCTAACAAATATGGGCTAAAAGTCCAATGTCTTACTGATGCTAAAAGTGGCTATTTGTACAATGCCTACGTCTACTGCGGAAAAGGCAGCGATAGTTTTACATTATCCCAGGATGAAAAAAAGTTATCAATTCCAACACAATCAGTGATTCGACTAGTGAAACCTTTGGAAAAATCTAACAGAAATGTAACTGGTGATTCATGGTTTTCTTCCAATGAATTGGTTGAAGAATTGCGAAAGCGGGGTCTTACATATGTCGGCACACTCCGCAAAAATAAAAAAGAAATACCTATCGAGTTTTTACCGTCAAAAGTTCGCCCTGTTGGAGATGTATGTTATGGTTTTACTAAAGATAAAACAATTATGTCCTACGTCCCAAAACCAAACAAAGCTGTAATATTGATCTCTTCGTTAAATCATGAAGGAAAACAAGATTTGGAGTCCGATAAGCCAGAGATCATAGCCTTCTATAATAATACCAAAGGAGGAGTCGACTCTTTGGACCAAAAATGTTCTGTATATTCATGTAGTAGAAGAACACGACACTGGACCATGGCATTATTTTATACAGTTTTGAATATATCATCAGTAAATAGCTATATTATTTATCAAAGCTGTAAGAATTCTAAGAAAATTGACAGATTTCAATTTATTGATGAATTGGCGTATCAACTCGTACAGCCCCATATTCGACGCAGGTAATGAAAACTTGTTATAAATAGAATATCATTGCTAAAATATTTCTGTATGTTTTCAGGTATAATAATCTCAGCTTACAGAAAGGATTGAAAGTAGATATAGGCCGAGTGCTTGAAGAGCCTGAAAGCAATTTACAAACTCCTGCATCTTCATCAACTGCCTCAGCCTTACCAAAGCGGAAAAGATGTAGCCTTTGTCCATCAAAAAAGGACAGAAAAACTTTCAATGCGTGTGGAAAATGTTTAAAACCCATATGTAATGAATGTTCTTCAACTATTTGCAGAAATTGCTTGTAGTTAGGAAAAGTTAAAAAATGCACTTGTTATTATCAAATACGTTGTCAGTTTTTAAAAGTTTTGAAACATTTGAAGTTTTATGTTATATTGTCACATACTGAAGTCTTAGAAATCAAAATCAAATATTATCTTGTTTTCATTTATAATAGTTTATCATTTTTGAGGTGTTTTAGTTTATAAACCTTTTTAAGTGCAATACTGGCTACTGTACTGATATTATTACTTAATAGTTTGTAGATTTGTTTAAGTATTGACTTTTGTGAGTAAAAATAAATCATTTAAAAGATACATAACTTCTTTGAAGAAAAAAAGAAAAATTAGACCTAAAAATAACCCTCGGATGATCATGGGTCAATTTGACCCATGATCAGCGTAAAACGGTATAAATTATTAGTTAAGGGTTAAATATGCGTTCAGGGCTATTCTTATCATGATTTCCAGGATAAGGTTTCATAATATGCGTGTACAGTGCAAATGCACCGTCTCCAAAAACACATACGGCATATTTATATTTTTTATTTTGGACGTGGTGCTGGTAAATTTAGAGTATTGTTAGAAATCATGTCCCATAACAAAGTGTTTCTAAAAATTCCTCCGTCACTTATCCTTCCCTGACCACCAACATCAGCAAAAATAAATTTATATTTACTATCGACTATTGCCATAAGCACAATACTAAAATTTTTCTTGTAGTTGAAGTAATCTGAGCTTGAGTTAGGAGGACATTTCAGAATAATATGTTTGCCATCTATTGCACCGATAGCTCTAGGAAATTTAAAACTAAATCCTTTTTCAATTTCCAACCATTCTTCTAGAGATGATGGAATCTGAAACAAAATGATCTTGATTATACATTATTACTATTAATCAGTATTGTTGCTTTCGTATATATAATGATTTATGTTATATAGGACAGAACAGCCTTGTACTCCTACAGTTGATAATGAAGAGGAAACGATCAATGAAAAAAGACTAATAGCAGAAAACAAAAATGTAACGAAGACACCTCAGGCTGCTCGTCCTCGGTCACTTCAGCGCGAGGTGCAAGAAGCCGGGAAGCAAGTGAAGGAAGCAGCTGGTTTACTGCAGCAAAGCATTAAAAAAAGGGATTGTCAAGCCTCCCAAGACGACTGTGACATATATGCGTTAGGGTTAGCGAAGAAATTGCGAGCATTCTCTGAAGAGGAAAGACTGGAAATTATGTATGATCTCGATGGTATGATTCTCAATCGCCACCGTGCAAAGCATCCAAACAGGTTTACATCCACTACATTTATTGCACCTTCACAATACAGTCGATGTTCGTCTCCTATGTCTTCCTGTTCAGAACCGTTGTCCCGCGAAGTTCTTTATAGTCAGAATACGCTCATGGGATATTCCGAACCAGCACAAGTTCATGTGCCACAAGAACAAGATACACGCCAAATTTATTCCAAAGCATCAGAAATTTCTCAATCACAATATACAGATGCAGAAACTGGGTCAAACATAAACATAAATTCAAACCAGGCCGTGGGAGGTGATCATCTGTCTGACATTATTGCTCAAGCCTATAATACTGCTTAAGTTTTGTTTAATGTGTTCTGATTTCATTTAGTTTATAATTATTATACCTACCTCACTTTTTCAGTTGTATGACTTTTATTTTTAAGTACTTAATAAATAGTGGAAATAGTTTATAAGACTCACCTTTATTTCTGTTTGTAATACTTGATTAAGTGCTTCACATACTTCTGGAATAATTGTTGAAATCAATTGAGGTGACACTTTAAATAAAAAATGAAGACTTTGAAAGCTATCTCCTGTAGCCAAGTATCTCAGTGTTATTGCAAGACGCATTCGGGCTGGTAAAGCTGTTCGCAGTTGTGTATCTTGTTTGGTAATTAGTTGAGAAATCTTGTTAAGGAAAAATTCAAAATCTACAGTTGACATTCGTGTAAACCTTTTGAATTATCCACTTGGTTCAGCAACTAGTTCTCCCAGTTTATTTTCCATACTTAAGCTGAAAGAGACAATATACGTTAATTTGTTTTATACTCGTGTATGCTATAGGAGATAATAATAGAACTATCACATTTATTCTTTCGAAGTTAAAAACAAATACAAACCTTGTTCTATTGCGATGAATTTGTATCATCCACCATCGTCTGGGCCTTTTTCTATTCTTAACCCGGCGTTGGTACGGTGGGGTATAATATACCCCAACGCACTTTACCTCGTCATAACAGATCATAAATGGCCAGCAGCTTCGCGAGATTTCGTGTATCTTCGGATAAGACCTTAATAATCACGGAAACATGAAGCGCTCAGTGGATGACTGACCGTCGCCCGTGCTATGTGCGTCACTTTGCGATTGTGCATGTGATACCCCACCGTACCGATACCGCTACATAAGAATTTTCAATCATACCCCACCGTACACTTTTATTTTTAGTGGCTCCATTCATTTTTCAAGGTGAGTTTTTTTGTAATTTTATTTAATTTGAATTACCTCAGGTATATTTTTAGTATGTTGCACTGGGAAAAAGAGCAAGAGAGGTTATTGAAGCTATGGGAAGAAGTAGGAGCAGAAATTTCTGAAAATGAGCAGCTAGAACAAGAAGCAGCATCTGGATCGGAAGCAGAAGAAAATAATAGTGAAAGGTCTACAAATTCTGATACAGAGCAAGAAATAGATGAGGAAGATATACTTCACCTGTCCGAGGCTACAACGTGCACATCAAATGATATATACATGGGAAAAGATGGAGTTACAAAATGGAGCAAAACTTGTGGAAATTTAGCTGTGAAGACAAGAGCTGAAAACATAATTTCTCATTTACCTGGAGTAAAAACAGATTTCAAAAACATCAAAGAGCCCTTGCAGATTTGGAAATGTTTTTTTACGGAACAAATGCTCTCTTATATTGTAAAATATACCAATGACAAGCTAAATGAAAAAGCAAAAAACCATAGCCGCCCTGATACTCAACATCTCACAAAACATACAACATTGGAAGAACTTCAAGCATTTTTGGGACTTCTATATGTAGCTGGTGTTTTAAAGTCGGCAAGACAAAATTTGGACGACCTATGGTCTACTGATGGTTTGGGAGTTGATATCTTCAGGTCAACAATGTGTAAAAAAAGATTTAGTTTGTTGCTACAATGTTTACGGTTTGACAGAAGTGCAACAAGACCAGAAAGGCGCCAGCTGGATAAGCTTGCACCCATCAGAGCAATTTTTGACAGGTTTGTGGAAAACTCTCTCGCTGTATATACTCCCAGTGAATACGTTACAGTTGACGAAAAGCTTGAAGCATTTAGAGGCAGGTGCTCTTTTCGCCAGTTTATCCCAAACAAACCGGCAAAATATGGAATCAAGATCTTTGAATTGGTAGATGCCCGAACATTCTACGTCTTGAATCAAGAAGTTTATGTTGGCAAGCAGCCATCTGGTCCATTTGAACAAAGTAACAAACCAGAGGATATAGTTTTACGCCTTTTTAAGCCGATTCAAAAGTCTGGACGCAATATAACTTACGACAATTGGTTTGCAAGCTATTCGCTTATGACAAGACTATTGCAAGAATATAAGCTGACTTCGATCTGTACTCTACGGAAAAATAAAAAAGAAATTCCTGTGCAGTTTTTACAGACTAAACATAGAGCGGAAAAATCATCTATATTTGCATTTCAGAAAAATGCTACGCTCGTTTCATATGTTCCCAAAAAAGGAAAAAATGTTCTGCTTCTTTCGAGCCTACACCATTCAGACATGATAGACGAAAGCACAGGAGATGACAAAAAGCCAGAAATTATAACGTTCTACAATTTGACAAAAGGTGGTGTCGACGTTTCAGATGAACTTTCAAGTAACTATAATGTTTCACGTAATAGTAGAAGGTGGCCCTTGACCATATTTTTTTCGTTATTGAATACAGCATCAATCAACGCTTTTGTGGTATACCTTTCCAATGTTGGAACTCCTATCAAACGTCGCGAATTTATCAAAGAATTGGCACTAAAAATGATTATGCCTCATATGAGAAATCGACAAAACAATCCCAGAATATCTTTATGTCTGAAAAGGAAAATGAACGAAATTACAGGTGCTTCCACTTCTGCAAATATCGTTGATTGTGAGCATCCTGGCAAAAAACAAAGAAATTCAAAACGATGTTATACATGTGATCGTTCTAAAGACAAGAAATCTTTCTACTGTTGTGCGCTCTGCAAAGAATTTGTATGCTTAGAACATTCTATCATTCTATGATAACATGCGAATTATGTTTTGAACAAAACAAAAATAATACATGATATTGTGTTAGGTGATGATATTGTGCCAGGCGAACCAAATTACTGAGGTTGTCAGGATTTGAACGGGGTATTTATACAGGGTGACTTCGAAGTTGAGTCATTTATTTTAACAGTGAGTAGATCTGATCAAAAGAAATGTTTTTTCCTTTACCATTTTTCTGGTAAAATTAAAGTAACAAAGTTATAGCCCTTTGGAAGTTTGAGTACCGCCCTGTCTAAATAATAATATTATGTGCTCGTGTTTGGCGACAACGGATATAATCCGCCTTATCGGTTCATCGCATCGGAAACAAAAAAGCAAAAGAATTTGGAACGATGTTTTTACAATTATTTCATTCAGTTGTACACAGTCAGTGTCAGTCGGTAGTGAATAGTGATGTCTGTTGCGTGGCTCAAACGAAATAAAAAATGGCACATGTTTATGCGGATCGGTTTTCCAATCGAGTGCAATAAACCCCTCGTGCCTTTGTTAATTTAGTACAACGGGTTCGTGAATCATTTGACTTAAGACCTCACATATGGACGGCATACCGGTGCTCCAAGACCTCACGGTCAAATACAGGTCCGCACTGAAATACTTGTCGGGAGGATACTTTATAAAACAAGGTAAACTTTTTTTTTTATTTTTTTTTATTTTTACACACATATTTTGCTTTATCTTCCTTCTACAATCATTATCTGAAAATTAATGACTCAACTTCAAAGTCACCCTGTATATACGAGTAACTGGGTTTATACGTAATTGTAACTATTTGATACCTTTAGCGTATTTTCTTGGGTAAGTTTTTTTTGAAAAAGAACTTTGGGTTTCTTTTTCTTTGTTGGTAAGGGGGGGAGATGTATCAGGTTGATACATTCTTTTTTTCCTCCTTTCCAGTATAGAAGATTTTTTTCTCTTGTAGGCTATGAATGCGGTCCTGTAGTTTAGTAGATCTACATTTACAGGGTGACTCAAAATCAAACCTCATCATTTTATTTTATCTTTTTTTTTTTTACATTTGCTTGTTGACTTGACATTGTTGTCACTTGGTATATAGGTAGCTATTTCTGTTACTGGCAGGCACTTTTGAGACAAGTATTCGGTTTTTTTTTGCTTCTCTCAACATTAACCATGAATGTCGAAAGGCTTCTTGGAGACGAAATTCAATATGAATTACGCATAAGAAACTTACCGGTATATCGTACAGTCGCAGAAAATCGAGCCACACTTCGAAGCGCTTTACGGTGTGAGAGACAAGGCCTCATTGGTCCCACTCCGAGTGCTTCAGGACTCAGCGCACAAGAGGAATATGCCATATGCGCGAACAAACTTGGTGACTTGAGGGTAGATATCACTCGGTTTGATATCAGCAATAAAGTTAATGAGTATAAACGTATCAGTACGTAGATGCGATGTCAAACGGAGGCGACATCTGTCGTGTCGAAAATGAACTACGGATGAAAACTATATATCAATGAACTATTTCAGGGTAAGACGATGAATTGGGAGCTCACAACTGTCAAATGCGACGCCTATAGTGAGAAAAAAGTACTGATCTAAAAAGAAATGCAATTGTAGAAAAAACAGAATGCCCTAAAGAAGTGATAGTGGCTATTACAAAGAGAACTAGGTGGACAAAGTATTGTGCGTCAGGCATAATAAACAACGAGTGTACACTGTACAGTCAATAAAAGAAACTTCCCATTAAACAAATGTGAAGTTGATTACTACAAGAAAGAAGGAGAATGCAAGATAGGTCACCTGTGCCCTCCCAATGGTGAATGTTGGGGTTCTTCTGCTGAAAAATGTACGTTACATGAACTAACAGATTATGTAAAGGAAAGACAACACACCTGGATTGGGGAAAATTACAACTTAAAATGGAAAGACACGTGTATATCATCATGGGACTGCATAATAAAAGTAACCAACCTTCCCCTGTTCATGGGAGAATCACAGAAGGAAGACTATAGTTTGCTTTTCTATGACAATACAGGAAAGAAAAGACACTTGAATACAGAAGAAAATAATGGTAGTATAGATTTAGGTGATGACTTTGAACTACACATCTTGAGCAATTACATCAAGTGTGAAAAAACAAGGAAAGAGGTCTCTTGCATGCAAGGAAATACCAGAAACTGAGTGTGCATCTGGTCTGCTGAAAACAATTCATCTGGTGAACCTTTTATAGCTGATATAATGAAAAGAGAATCATACAATAGAAACAAAAGGTACAAAGTGGTACAAGCAAAGTACAGGGATGGTAGGAGAATCGTAGAAATAGGTGATAACCTGGATGAAGACCTCTGGGGAATTGGGACAAAGAAAAAGCACAACCTACAAGCATCGAATCAGTGAAAGAAGTACTTAAATTCTCCTACTTCAAACAAATGGAGAACGAAATAAACTTCTATATAGAGAGGTCCAATAGGAAAAATCTAGAGAACCTGATAATAAAGATGTTATCATCTGACTTTATAGTCATTATCAAAAATAGACGACGAACGTTCTAGTCAACGCTATAGTTTACGGCGGCGACCTGACACCTTTAAGGTGGGACAAAAGGTTTGGAAGCGCAACCATGTGCTATCGGACGCTGCAAAAGGTATTACGTCTAAACTCTCCCATAAATTTGAAGGACCTTGAGAAATCTGTCGTATTGTCTCTCCTTGGACTTATTAACTTTCTGATCCAAGGGGTAGAAGCAAAGGAGTATGGTCGGCGCACGATTTGAAAGCACATCCGCCTGACGAATCCGTTATAGAAGAGAAGTAGGGCTTCTCCGTAATCCTTGCGTCCGTAAGGTTTTATCAATGATAGTTTAACGTATGTACATTTTTTTATGTAAATATGGGTAAATTGGGACTAATATTTTCTAAAGTTTTTCCTTTGTGAAAGTTTTCCCTTCAGGAAAAACTTTCTCCAGGAAAGAGGGGTGTGTTACGGGTTTAATTTGAAACCATACTCTTACCTCAGAATTCAAGATTTTGTGAGCGGTTACCAAGACTAGATTCACAATCTTAAGTCCTACGTGCTATCGTGGTCCGTGGGATCAGCCCTAATCTTTGTCCAAACCTTGTAGGAACTGCCTCTACTCAGCGAAAAGGTGACTGTGTCGTGTGCAATCTCCAAACTCGGAATAATAGGGCCCTACTTTTTCGAAAATGAAAGAGAGCAGGCAGTGACAGTCAACTCCGCCCGGTACCTGGGTATGCTTCAAGAATTTTTCATCCCTTATCTTGAAGAAAATGAGATTGACGCTGGCAGCATCTGGTTTCAACAGGACGGGGCTACAGCTCACACAGCAAGGATTTCTATGGACTTTTTAAGAGCGACTTTCCCTCGACGCGTAATATCCCGAAATGGTGACGTTCCCTGGCCTCCACGCTCCCCAGATCTTACCCCCTGTGACTTCTTTCTTTGGGGCTACTTGAAGTCTAAAGTTTATGTTAACAGTTTTTGTAAAGAATTAAAGGAAGCCATCAGCCAATTATGTTTTGAACAAAACAAAAATAATACATGATATTGTGTTAGTATAGTGTAACTTTTTCATTTCTTAGAATATAATAGCAATGTATGTATTTTAACATTGTCAAACTTTGACCTATTCCAATAAATGTTTGAATATTCATCGAAACACCAAAAAACGTAGTTTTGATGCGATGGTCTCTTACATTCTCCTTTACACATATAAATTTGATAAAAATCAGAAATGGAATAACCTACAACACCTAAATTGCACCCTTGATGGATTTCTCTTTCAATGAATGCTCATACCTCACCGTACCACTAATGTTTGTAAACGCCACCGTACCAACGCCCGGTTAACTGTATTTATTTTAATATTGAATAGGTTATAGTATGCTAATGCGCACAATACCAAGGCCGCTGCACTGTCAAAATCGTCCATACCGGATACGGGCGAGAACATTAAGGCCGCTCCAGACTCACGGCGAGAAGCCCCGAGAACACCCGAGAAGCGTGAGTGTGAATGGTGTCTCGCCGTCTCATTCTCGCGCTCGCCTGTTCTCCGATCGGTGTCGGTATTTTTGACAAGAGACAAAGGCTTTCTCGGGCGAGAAAAAGGACGCTATCCACATTATCCGTTCTCAGTGCGACGTGCGACCAACGTTATTCTTGCGACGTTAGTGGAAGTATTTTTGTTTTATTTCGTGAACTTTTTAAAATAGAAAATGTGGGACAATGATCAGGATTGAAGTTTATAGAGTTTTTTCAAGCAGAGCCCATATTATGGGACACAAAACACCGAAATTACAAAAACAAGAATCTAAATCACGACGCGTGTGGTAGAATTGCACAATTGATGGACCTACCAATACCAGATCTCAAGAAGAAGAAGGAATCTCTTTTTGCAAGTTATCGGAAATACAGAAAGATGGTTAAAGATTCCTACCAATCGGGTGCTGGGGAAAATGAATTATACAAACCAGTATGGTTTGCATATGAGGCTTTGGATGGATTTCTGAGTGATGGACTTACTCTGAAGATAACAATAAATACGCAATCAAGGGTAAGAACTTTTCATTTATTTCAATAAACATTTTAGTACCTATTGTACAGTAAAAATATGTAAATTGAAAAATTATAGCTTTTTCTCAATTTACATTGGAAAAATAATTTTTGAACTCATCTCGTACTTGCCTTGCGTTGGCAGCTGCTCGGCGTGCTATTGGTGGTATATTTTGAATAGCATTAGTGCTTGAATTATCTATACGCCATGTCCCAGGCTGAATAAGAGTGTCGTTATCATCGTAAACATCAACAGTGCCTTGTGGGGAATACATTTGTGATGAAGTATTGCTTTTTATTAAATAATTATGTAATAATATACAAGTCATGGTGATAACAGAAGCTTTCTCGGGGCACAGCTCAATTGGCCTTTTAAATATTCGAAACTTTGATGACAATATTCCAAATGTATTCTCTACGACTACGCGTGATCCAGATAGTTTTTTATTAAACATGCGTTCAGGGCTATCCCTGTCATGGTTACCAGGATAAGGTTTCATGATATTAGAGTGCAGTGCAAATGCACCGTCACTCAAAAATACGTAATTTATATCAACATTTGAACCTGGTAGTGGATGTGACGCTGGTAAATTCAAAGTGTTGCTAGAAATCATCTCCCACAACAAAGTATGTCGGAAAATTCCACCATCACTTATTTTTCTCTGACCACCAATATCAGCAAAAATAAAGTTATATTTGCTATCGACTAATGCCATGAGCACAATACTGAAACTTTTCTTGTAGTTGATGTACTCCGAGCCTGAATTTTGTGAACACGTCAGAACACTATGTTTGCCATCTATTGCACCAATGGCTCTAGGAAATTTTGAGCTGAATCCTTTTTCGATTTCCAACCATTCTTCAGCGAATGATGGAATCTGAAAAGGAATAAATAATTTGTTTATACTAATGCTTTTCTTTTATTTTCAGGATGAACAGCCAGGCACAAGTACAATTATTTCAGAAGAGGAAATAATGAATAAACCAGGAGAAACCAAAAATGAAATAACAACACCACGAACTGGTCGTTCTCGTTCCCTTCAGTGCGAGGTAAAAGAGGCCGGAAGGCATGTGAAGGAGGCACTGAGTTGGTTTCAAGAAAGTGTTAAAAGAAGGGAGTCTCAAGAACCCCCGGATGACTGTGAAATATATGGCATGGGGTTAGCCAAGAAATTAAGAGCTTTCTCTGAAGAACGACTAGAAATCATGTATGAGTTCGATGACATAATTTTCAATCGTCGACGAACAAAGCAACCAAACAGGTTCACAAACATAGTATTTAATCCATCTTCAGAATACACTCGATCTTCATCTGCTATATCTTCCCCTTCCCCTGGTATCTCTTGCTACTCTGAACCTGTGCAACACAAAATGGCTTCTATACAAAATGTCCGTATGGCAGATTCCGTACCGCCGGAGATTCATACATCAGAAGTAGAACATACACTCCTAGTGTGTTCTAAACCACTACAAATTCAGACACCATCCGAAGAACAATATACAATTCAAATGTATTCTGAATCACCACAAGTTAATGTCTTACAAAATGCAGATGCACAAAGTAGCTCAAACATACACATTATTTCGGACGACCTATTGAGAAGTACCTATCGTTCTGATGTTATTTGTAATGCCTTAAATAATGCTTAGTTAATAAATATGTTGTTCAAAACTCACCTGTATTTCTTTTCTCAATACTTGATTCAGTGCTTTACATACTTCGGGAACAATTGTTGAAATCAATTGCGGTGACACTTTGAATAAAAAATGAAGGCTTTGAAAGCTATCTCCCGTGGCCAAGTATCTCAATGTTATAGCAAGACGCATTCGGGTTGGTACGGCTTTTCGAAGTTGTGTATCTTGTTTGCTAATTAGAGGAGAAATCTTGTTGAGCAAAAATTCAAAGTCCGTAGTTGACATTCGCGTGAACTTCTTAAATTCTCCACTTGGTTCAGCAATAAGTTCTCCCAACTGACTTTGCATGCTTAAGCTGAAATGGAAAATACCTATACATTTACTCTACTATATAATGTGTATTATGATAATTTTTAATAAAAAAATAAACCAGAATTTAAAAAAAACTAAAATTCTCAAACCTTGTTCTGCTTAGATGAATTTGCGTCATCCACCAACGTTATAGTACGCCAACGCAGATACCATCAAAGCCGCTGCACTGTCGTCCATACCGTATAAAGACGAGAACACAAGTGAGATTCAGTGTGAATGTGGACATAGCCGTTGTTCGCGAGAAGTCTCGGCGAGAAGATTCGCCGAGACTTCTCGCCGTGAGTCTGGAAGGCATATTACTCAAGAAAAGTTCGTAAGTATGAACAGGTACACTAGGTTCGCGACAAATCTCGGCGGTCCTCCACGCCGAGACTTCTCGCCGTGAGTCTGGAGGCCGCTTTAGAAGTGCAAGTGCGAGAAAATATAAACGGTGAATCAGAAAGCAAAGCGCTCTCTGGTAGCTATATATACCATCAGTTATTATGGTTGATATTAGCATGACCGGCCAAGTGATTTTGGTTCCAATGCACACAGACGCTATCCGCAGTGCTCGCTGGTAAATGTGAATACCAGCAGCGCGCGCGATGCGAGCCACGTGCTCCTGTCAACCACGTACGGTAGCGTAAGCTACCAACGTTCATTACAGCAAGCATCAAAGCAGAATTTTGCTTTATTTTGTTTATTTTTAATAGATAGAGCTGTGTTTGTGTATAAGTGCAAGAAATAAGTAATAGGTAAGTATTCAATTAAAATATCTACATAAAGGTTTTTGTTGTTATATTTCCTAAAGCACTTAAAACTCCAAGAAAAGCATAATATTTGTGGGAGCACAAAAAACATCAATAAATATTTTTATCTATAAAATAATTATTAATATGTTGGTATGTGTGTACTAATCGTTTTACAATAGTAAAATATGTATCAATTGGCTGCTAAAGTAATTTTAGCATTGCATTGAAGCGCTAGGATAATATTTTGTTTTTGTTCTCGATTATGCAGATAATATGCAAAACTGTTGTGATAGTAAGCATTGGTGCTGATAGCCCAATAAAAAAAAAATTTAGTTCCTAAGCCTGTTTCATCAGATTATTACTGCTCTAGTATAATTTGTTTTTTTATAATATAAAACATAATTTAGCTATTTATACAGGGTGTCACGTATCGTTATGCTGAAATTTTGTAGGTCGAAGACAAATGAAAATAAAACTGCAGCTTTGACTTATAATTAAATCTAGTATACCTAGGGCCGCCACAAAATTCGACCATAACGATACGGGACACCATGTATATACATTTTATTTCCAGAATGTCCAATTCACGGCCACTAACTCAAGCGGAGTTAGAAGAAATTGTGGCAAATATAAGCAATCAAGAATACTGTGCTTCTGACTATGGCGGTGATGATGCAGAGGATGACTTGCCACCTGAAACCCCCACTTCATCCAGATCATCTTCAGTACGATTGTCTTCAGGTTCACCTGCGGTTCTTCTTGATTCTCAGCCTGGTTCATCGTACACAACTGGCTTGAGAAAAAAATGACTTGCAGAGATTCCGCCACAAAGTATGACTGAGGGCGAAGATGAGGACTACCATGATTCCGATGCAGACCCGGACTTCGATCCAAATGATTCAGATGGTCCACCAAATAAAATTGCCAAGTTTTTTCCTCAGGATAGTGAACTGTCCTCCGAGGATGAAGACGAAAACGAAATATCTTCTGCTGGTAAAACTACATTTTTGTGGTCTAAAAAATCTAACCAAATGTTACGATTCGATACTTACAATTTCACGGAGTCTTCTGCTGTAAATATTCAAGTGGATTCAAACAAACCAATCGATTTTTTAAAAATTTATTTTGACGAAAATATATGCCAAATGATAGTGCGTGAATCAAATTTATATGCTAATCAACAAAAAACTCAATTAGAATTAGGTTCCGAAGAACTTGATGCATTTTTTGGGATACTTATTGTCATGGGTTTTCACCGCCTGCCCACGTTGAGATCCTATTGGTCTGCTAATTTAAATTTTTTTGTTGAACGTGTTGCTAAAGTGTTCACACTCAAACGATTTCTAAAGATCCTTAGATACCTTCATTTCAACGAAAATGGGAGAACGTGTTGTTCTTGAATTGTCAAAAAAATTTCAAAATCGCGGCTATTGCATCTATTTTGACAATTTCTTTACAACGATTGCTCTTATGCAGAAATTATTAGACAGAGGCCTATTTGGTTGTAGAACTGTGAGGCAGGACAGAAAGAATTTCCCAAAACACATGTTGTGTACAGATAAGGAATTATCTCAAAACCAATCAGATTCGGTTGCCTCGGGAGAAATATCTGTATACAAATGGAAAGATCGGGGTGTCAAAAGCGTAGCTGTTGCTAGTAATCGACATAACTTCCTGGAAAAAACAGAAGTTTTACGCACCAACAAAACAGTTCAACGGGATAATGTAACGTGTCCCAAAGCTATCGCGGATTATAACATCCATATGGGAGGCGTTGATCTGTTCGACCAATATCATGAAAATTATTCTACATCATGGAAATCCCGACGGTGGTGGATAAAAATTTTTTATTACTTACTAGATGCAATAGTAAATAGTTATGTTCTCTACAAGGAAACACTTAAATCAAAAAACCCTAGTGCAAAACCCCTAATAGCTTTACAGTTCCGTAGCGAACTAGCGAATGAACATTTACGCAAAGAAAAAAGCCCGGACCTCAAAAAACGGAAACGCAATCGAAAATAGGTTCCCATCTTGCAACTAAAGGAACGTACCGCCGCTGTGTACTGTGCAGGTTTTCAAAAAAGAAACAAACTCGCTCTAATATAATTTGCAAAACTTGTAACGTTGCACCTTACCATACAAAATAAAAAATATTTAATTAATATAAGTTTACTTAGAAAATAAAACTTCACTCATGTAGTATTATTTTTAAGAAGGTTGCTAATACAATGACATAATTAAGTATAAGTTTATGCAATAAAATTTCACTCATGTAGTTTTATTTTATTAAGACGGTGGCTAGAGCTACCACTGAACTTTATGTGTAGAGTGTTGTTGTTAAAGCACCATGGTAGCTATATCTACCGTTTTTTTCACCACCTTAGGATTTTTAAAAAAAATTTTTAACATTTTTTGATGGTTGCTGTTGTTGCTGATAACTAGTTTTTCAAAAAAAATAATTGATTTTCGAAAAAAATAATTTTGCGCCTTAAAGGGTTAATATATTACTGAAATATGAAATATAAATAAGTCATGTGAACAACTCAAAAAATATTTAAGCTCTTCCTTGGAGAATCATATCATGCTGCCGCTCCACTTCTCCGAGTCCATTAAAATATTCCAAATACTTTTGTCAATTATTTATTGCTTCCAATGGAACACTTTTCGTTGGATTTGGCTGAAGTGGAACAAGGCTATTATGTGTATCTCTTCTCCAGTCTCCCTCAATAATTTTGTGATTATTGTGATCGTCAGCATCCACTGATGATGGTGTTATGTAAGAATGATGGTTTTTCTTAAAAAATTATGTAGCATACAGGTTGCTAAAGTAACAAATGTTGCCTTTTGGGGATCAATACATATTTTTGTGTGTAGAATTCCAAATCGATATGCCATCAAACCGAAAGCGTTTTCAACCACATTTCGACATCTGGAAATACGGTAATTATATATACGTCTCTCATTCGTCAAATTTCTATGAGAAAATGGCTTTAAAATGTGTTCATGTAGAGCAAAAGCTTCATCTCCAACTATGACAAAATTTAATTTCTCGTCGTTTTCATCGTTGTTTGGGAACTGTAGTTCGTCCTTCACTAACATGTCGTAAAACTTTGTTGACGATATAACTCCACCATAAGATAATCTTCCTTGCTTTCCTACATCAACGTATACGAATTCGTAGTTGGAATTAACTAATGCCATTAGCACAACAATTATAATGATATGTTTGGGCATTCTTAGAGCTTTATTGGGTTCTTCGGACTTCCAAATATAACCGTTTTTACCTTTATAACTGACTAAACCTGTAAGATGATCACTTTGCACATTATCGCGGCTCGAATTCGAATCTTGGTCTACAGACTCCATTTCTAATTCACTGTCCTCTTCTTCATGATCTGAAGGAACATATTCTTGCTCAGAAGTGGAAGAACAGTCATCGTCTATAATTTCATCTTCCTGCAATGTTTCGTCATTGGAATCTTCTACATCAGAAGTCTTTTTGTTCGTCATCAGATTCCAATTCATCGAAACATTTTCTAAGCTTTTGCTCATAGTCTTTGTAACCAAACTTTACTCGCTCTAAGCCAGATGCCATGATCTGAAATAAAACCAAACTTTGGGAATTGATTTACAAAATCACTGGATTCGAACATAATATGTTATTTCAATAATGCAAATTTTGAAAAAAATAAATACCATAATCGCATATTCCAGAATACCAAATATTAGCATACAGCTCTCATACTCAACTCTGTGAAAATTTATTTTTTTACGCACAAATTTATATTGATTCATATAAAATATTTTGTCATAAGCACTACTATTTGTTTTTACCTTCTGAAATGTGTTTTTTTGGTTTTAGATAAGAAGCCTTTTTTCACGTAAATGAATAAAAATAAGATAAAAAAGTTACCACGACTCAGTGCCGTTTCAGATGGAACTTATGGTCAGAGCAGATCATCAGGACAGACGAGCAAGTACCATAGGTTTAGTATGAGCATTTCACATGAAGCGCGTATGATCAGTACGTATGATCTCGTACGTCGGCCATAAGCCGAGCCCGTGCGTTAACGTAGCATCAGCGCGCGCACGACCAATAGTTTTAATGAGCGATTTCACAAAGGACTGACAGTCAGTTGCGTACCAGCAAGCGTGGTTGCCGTTGCTTGTCTATGCACGTTTTTTGAGGTTAATTGTAATTAAATTTAACAATGAATCATTTAAAATTCGACACTGAACCCTTAATTAGTGCGATTGAATCCAAAAACTGCATATGTGACATTGCCTGCGACGAATATAAGGATAGAGATATTAAAAATGCAGCACTTTTTCACGTAGCCGCTGTTGTTGTACACGAATTTGATCGGTTAAGTGAAAAAGAAAAACATGAAACAGGTAGGAATTTATTGTTTTTGTAATTAAAACAGTTTTATTTATGTTAATGGATCTTTGACTCTTGCCAAGAAATTTGCCCAGCAGGGCTTACAAAATAGTTTGCAAAAGCATCTCTTACAGAATAACCTGTCCTATCATGTCTTAATAATCCTGGATTCATATCAGAAAAGCCTTTAATATTCAGGGTATGATGAAATGCATATCCGTCGCGAATGCATACAAAATTATGCAAAACACAACAGGCTTTAACAATTTTTTTAGCAAGGCGAAACGATACATTTAGAGGTCTGTGAAATATGCGCCACTTATTCAATAAAATACCGAATGAACATTCTATACAGGGTGACTTTGAAGTTGAGTCATTAATTTTCAGATAATGATTGTAGAAGGAAGATAAACCAAAATATGTGTGTAAAAATAAAAAAAAATAAAAAAAAATGTTTACCTTGTTTTATAAAGTATCCTCCCGACAAGTATTTCAGTGCGGACCTGTATTTGATCGTGAGGTCCCCTGTGAGGTCTTAAGTCACCTGATTCACGAGCCCGTTGTACTACATTAACAAAGGCACGAGGGGTTGGTTGCACTCGATTGGGAAACCGATCCGCATAAACATGTGCCATTTTTTATTTCGTTTGAGCCACGCAACAGATACCACTATTCACTGACACTGACTGTATACAAATGAATGAAATAATTGTAAAAACATCGTTCCAAATTCTTTCGCTTTTTTGTTTCCGATGCGATGAACGGATAAGGCGGATTATATCCGTTGTTGCCAAACACGAGCACATGATATTATTATTGAGACAGGGCGGTACTCAAACTTCCAAAGGGCTATAACTTTGTTACTTTAATTTTACCAGAAAAATGGTAAAGGAAAAAAACATTTCTTTTGATCAGATCTACTCACTGTTAAAATAAATGACTCAACTTCGAAGTATATCGTCTAGCGATAATTGAATATTTTTTTATTGCGGTTTAAATTTTTTCTAGCATATGGGCGCAGTATGGGGATTGGGACGAAATGCCTCATCACCAACAATAACATATGGGAATGGTTGCGTTTCATTATACCCTGAAATCGGCGTATCCGCGGGAATATTTAGCAAATTATTTTCAAGCTTGTTCCAAAATGTACTATTAGTGAATACAGTAGAATCCGAAAATTTACCTAATGCACCTACATCTATATATGTGAAGCAATAGTTGGCATTGCATATGGCTAAAAGCACCAAAGAAAAAAGTGTTTATAATTGAAACAAAGAGAACCACTTTTAATGGGCTTAATTATACGTATATGCTTCCCATCCACAGCGCCAATACAGTTTGGGAAGTTTGCATACTTTTCAAAATCAAATGCAATGTCTTGCCACTTTTGTCGGGATAGTTCCGGCATACAATCCTTTTTCATTATTCTCCAAATTTCGTCGCATACTAACTCTACAATACCACTAATAGTTGAAATACCGAGTCTGTAGGTGTAATGGATGTCAGTAAAGGTGTTGCCGCTTGCCAAGTATCTTAAAAGCAATAAAAATTTATAGCTTCATGTTTTCCTTTACAGTATTACTAATACAAAAGAGATGCAAAACTGCTAGGGATCCCTATGTACGAGATAGAGCCAAACTACGAAAAATGGAAAGTGGTGATTCTGCAAAGCATATAAAAAAGTATATCTATTTCGGGAACCTAACATTTTTAGAGAAATCGATTGACCTAAACAAGTACGTTTCTTCTCTATTTAGGGTTGGATTTAAAAACAAAATTTACTTGCATAAATTTTCTAATTATTTTTTCATGAACTGATATTGTTTTTTATTTTGATCATTTTCTCAACTTGGACATGTGTGTTTTTAGAAAAAATATTTTTTTAATTTGATATAGACATAATGAGAAAAAGTTTTATTTTTTAGAACAGACACAAGTTTCGACGCTGATGAAGCAAGTCAAGAAAACCAAAATAACGAGGTTGTCGATTTATCGGAATCTGATGTAGATGTAGATGTTGAAGTTTAGGTCAAGGAGTTACAGTTAAGGCAGAATTTTACCAGAACAAAACGCAAGAAAATTGACACTTTAGATAATAAACTAATAGCATTTCTCGATGAAGCTTCAAAAGGTGACCAAGACCATCACAAAGCATTTTTAACGTCTCTTTTTCCAACCCTAAAATTATTTAATGAAGCACAAACACTTCAGTTTAGATCTGAAGTGCTTCGTATAATAATGGAAATCAAAAATATTGAACAACATTCGTAACTCATCAAGCACAATCTGTATCAACCCAAAATGTTTCTTCACAGATACAGTAATTTAATGTAGACAATTCCAACAATTGGTCATCAAGACCATCAATATCGTATAGTTATCACTCATCAGATCAGGCGTCACTGCATTCTTCAGATTCTATGGCTATTTTTTTACCTTCACCCAGTTGTAGTGATACAAACCACCGTCCAACTTTGTTAGAACTGTCTGCGACACAATTAGATGACCAGACGCACTAACATCGCTATTCAATGCTTATTATATTGCATAATGCTATGTATCTTTCAAAAAATCTGAATTAGTTTCATTAAGCAATCTTTGTTCTTTATGCAAATATGTTAGTTAATAAATGATTTTTGATAAAATGTTTTTTCACTTACCTTATACATATACATACACATAATCTTTCCACTGACGAAATTGACACTCTAACTTGATTTGAAAATTTTAAACCCTCTTCTAACCTGTCATGTAGTTCGTGAAAATGATCTTATTGACATCCGAAAGTAATTAAAAACTTTTCTCTCATCTTCTCTCAAACTGGAGTACAAAGTAATAAAGGCACCTTTTAGATACCTTGCACTTATAATCGGATGTACCCATAAACGTTTCTTTTTGTTTTCGCGTCTCCTTTTAATTATAAGCCAAGATATGGCAACAGCGATTTTCCTGCGACTGCCACATGGTATTCAAATTTGAACTGACGATCCGTTGCATGTGAAATGAGTACGTCCAACGTATCATCAGTGCTGATATTTCAGAGCTCACCATCAGCGCTGACCATACGCTTCATCTGAAACGGCTCTCAATCACACATAAACACATAAGATACAATAAAACTAATATTTCCTTGACTGGACGTGTATCCAAAAGTTCTACGCTATACGCGACTATCGGTATGACGGACCGCCAGACTTCAAAGTATCACTTCTGCACATCGGTTTTGAGAATACGAATTGCAGCGCCGCTTTTCCCAATTCGACATCATACAATATACTGAAGCTAGGTGAGGGCTCAAGGTCATGAGTTTATTCTGACCGCAGTTATGGAAGATTGAATTTTGAATAGCGGTACAGCATACCGTGCTCGCGAGTCAAAGGTTAAATTTATAAAAAGAAAATCATTGATAAGCGGTTTGGCCTAGGAATGGGCACTCTATTCTCAATGAGGAGAAATTCAAATTACTGATAAGTGATAAATATAAAAAAAGGTTACGTGATTTTGGCACGTGACAAAGGACACGTTCAAGTTTATTTGAAATTGCTTGGAATCTTCTTATATCTAAATATTGTCAACGATGAGAGTCTGTTTGCAGATGACTTTAAATTTGGTAACTTTTACAATGTAAAGTTTAGTTTAATTTAAAATGCTAATTTAAAAAAATTGCTAATATTAATTTGTTAGCCGTACGTAAAATAACCATGATTTCCAAGCAGGCAAGCTGACTGTTAATTTACTGTACAATGCAGTCATAGAAATGCTCAAAACCAATGTTATATGGTTAGTAACAATTTAACGCTTAGGAAGTCGCGGGTAACAGCTAGAGCAATATAATCACAACTTATATATAATTGCTAAAACGATGGGGTGGGTACCGTACGACGCGAGCGACCATTCAATTGACATGGAAATTCATATGTGCAATTTTAGCTATAGTAATACATTTCACATACACGTTTTTCTATACTTATTATGTATCTATGTATATTACTATTATTCTTTATGTACGATAATGACGTGCAGTATATCGATGAGATGATCTAGTTAATATCTATTTATTTATCTATCTGTCTATTGTGTTATATATACTTTTTAATTTTCGGCATTTTAAAACCAGGAAACTTGGAAATCATCACAACTGGGAAATATCTCAATTTCGCATGGTCGTTGGTATTTTTGAAATCCACTATCAGGCTCAGTAAATCATGTAAGTGATAGGTTGAATTGCATTGGGGGGGATTACAAACCTGCCCATGGCAAAAAATGTGCAAAATGGGTTGGTATTCTAGTAAACATTCCAACCCTTGGGATGTCCCGAAAAGGGCTGCTTTTACAAAGAACGGATCCAAATTTAGTTTTTGTTGAACTTCCTGCGAAACTAGTTGATGGCATTTGTGATATATCAAAATGTATTCCAAGACGTATCTCGAAAAGTTGAGTGTTGCGCACGCGATATGTTCTATAGTGCAAACTGTGAATGAGGTGGAGTTCGAGGCGACAGGTCCAGCATCGCTATGTAACAAAGTACTTGGAGATATTGCTTAATAATTAGAAAATTATATGCTCTGTAAAATGAAAAGGCACAATGGAACCGATGTTGATAAACTTTGTCACAATAATAAAATTACTATTTTTGGGGGTGCCTGCACCACCTGATGCTATACGTGGTCTAACCGGTGTGAAGATAGCAGCCAATTCTTCCGGGCATTCGCGTGAAGTTAGCAGCCAAGTTTCAGGAACCACTTTTTTTGTACCAAATACTGAATTTTTAATCATTGCATCGTATTTACCTAGCTAATTTTAGCAACAGACGGTCTCAAAAAGGGTAGTTTCATGCTTAGCGCAAATATATTTAGAAAGAGGTATGCAGCTTTTCAAAAAGGCTAACACCATTGACGAATAATAAAAATAAATAAAGCGCATCGTTTATACAGTTATGTAGGCGTAGAAGTCAGATTATGTGTTTTTTTTAGCTGACGTAGGGGTAGTTTACAGCCTAAGAACATATGCAGCTCTTTATATCTCCCAACTAGTTAGAAATAGAGTTGCCGGCTAAAAATAAATGAATAGTGTTTCACGAGTAGCTATTAGGTCACTTCTTCGGACCCGTCGAAGTGGTGTACTTCACTCCTTGGACATGAAAAATGTGTTTTGTTCATTTTTCACCTAGCCAGAAATAAACTGACAGGCTGGAAATGAATCAGAAATGTTCCTTTCGTTAGTAGCTATCAGACCATGCAGGTCCCATCTTCTTCGGACCCATCGTAGGGGTTGATTTCTTCTCGTCAAAAATATTTCTGATTCATTTTTAGTCTATAACTTTTTTTACGAAGAGATGAGAAAAGCAAAAAGCCGCAACCGTTCATGGGGTAAAGTCAACCGATCAAGATGGGATCAAGGTGGCCTTATAGCTACTAATAAAACGAACACTTTTGATTCATTTCTAATCTGTAACTTTATTTCTGCCTCGGTGAAAAATGCAAAAAACACATTTTTCACGTTCAAGGCGTGAGTCGACCCCTTCGACGGGTCCTAAGAAGATGGGATCTATGTGACCTTATGTTTACTAATGAAAAGAACACTTTTGATTGATTTTTAGCCTGTAACTTTATTTATAGCTGGCTGAAAAATGGAAAAAACACATTTTTCACGTTCAAGCGACGAAGTCCACCCCTGCAACGGGTCGGAACAAGACACCCAATACCTACTAGTAAACTCTATTCATTTATATTTAGCTTGTAACTCTCTTACTAACTAGGTGGTAGATATAAAAAGCTGGCTATGTTCTGAGGGTGCAAAGTATCCCTAGGTCAAGTAGAAAAAAACAATAATTTGACTTCTACGCCTACATAACTATACAGGGTGACTTTGAAGTTGAGTCATTTATTTTAACAGTGAGTAGATCTGATCAAAAGAAATGTTTTTTTTCCTTTACCATTTTTCTGGTAAAATTAAAGTAACAAAGTTATAGCTCTTTGGAAGTTTGAGTACCGCCCTGTCTCAATAATAATATTATGTGCTCGTGTTTGGTTCATCGCATCGGAAACAAAAAAGCGAAAGAATTTGGAACGATGTGTTTACAATTATTTTAGTCAGTTGTATACAGTCAGTGTCAGTCGGTAACGCGTTTGAATAGTGGTGTCTGTTGCGTGGCTCAAACGAAATAAAAAATGGCACATGTTTTTTGCGGATCGGTTTCCCAATCGAGTGCAACCAACCCCTCGTGCCTTTGTTAATGTAGTACAACGGGCTCGTGAATCAGGTGACTTAAGACCACACAGGGGACTGCATGCCGGTGCTCCAAGACCTCACGATCAAACACAGGTCCGCACTGAAATACTTGTAGGGAGGATACTTTATAAAACAAGGTAAAAAAATTTTTTTAATTTTTTTTTATTTTTACACACATATTTTGGTTTATCTTCCTTCTACAATCATTATCTGAAAATTAATGACTCAACTTCAAAGTCACCCTAAATAAACGATGCGCTTAATTCATTTTTATTACTCACCATGGCTGTTAGCTTTTTTGAAAAGCTGCATACCGCTTTTTAGATATTTTTGCACGAAGGGTGAAACTACCCTTTTTGAGGCGGTATGTTGCTAAAATTAGCTAGAAATACGAAGCAATCATTACAAAGTCAATAGTTGGTACAAAAAAATGGCTAATGAAAATTAGCTGCTGACCTCACGCGGATGCCAGGAAGAATGGGCTGCTATAAAGTGGCTGCTACCTTCACACCGGTCTAGAAGCTCGATACAATGGTACTTGGGATAAAGGTCCGCACTCGATTTCATGCTGTAATCTATCCGTGCATTATGTAATCAAATTCATCGTGTGTTTTGGATTTGATCACGTTACATATAAAACATAACAACATGAAGAGTCCGGACCTGATTATTACATTTTGATCTTAAGTTCTTAAGTAGTCGAATTCATAAATCTAGGACATACTGTAACCTCATATCATGGTTAACTTTCTAACGCCTATACTAGCAATTTTTTTGTACATACACAGCGATCCTGAGTTCCATCGTATGATCGCCAATAAGTTGGATTCTGCTGGGCCCACGGATTTTGCTTCAAATACTCACAGAAGCAGTTCACAAGCTGGCTGTGATAAAATAGGTGAGGTTTTTCCGATTTCAGCCATAGACATGCCATTTTTTGAAAATAATCTGATGGATAGTCCCGCAAGCAACGTAAGCGATGCAACTACAATAACCGTGATTTCGAAAACGTGATGAGGACTATGTTTCGACAAACAGAAGATCATATAGTTCCAGAGGCCAACAAATTAAAGCAAAAAGGAGTTACCCCGTGGAGGTTGATCAAGTCGATATCACGTCCAATGATTTTAAAAATAACATGGGTGAAATAGACCCGGAATGTGTACGCTCTACACTATTTTATTATATGAATGATGTCTTAAAATGTGCTTGTTATTTGCAACTTTATAGTTTTCGCTGTAACAAGTCTGGCTGCGTAATTGATGCAAAATGTGGCCGACCAAAGCATTCGCAGTACTTAAAGTTTTCGGTAACTGTTGTGGATTCATATCTAGCCCGTGTGTTATATACAAAGCTCAGGCCCCTTTACTAGCCTCG